GTCTCCATGTGAATACACGCAATACGATTGATGCAGTGATATGTATAGTGTAGCCAAATAGTAATTTGACACCAAGTAAAATTTAAATTGCTCGATTCACTAGGGTTTTGACATGCATTCCCGGCCACCACCGCCACTGTTCCTCCCGCCGCCGCCGCCGCCATCGTCGTTCGACGGTGACGACAAACTCTCCCTCTCTCTTTCTCTGAGAAATAATATGTCCCTTATTGTCGATTACGGCATGACAGGTATAACGTGTGATAACGAGCTAATCTGACCCGCACCGAGATGTACGTGAGTGCAAGTTAAGCAAGCCTACATGGGTCGATGCACTTGACGACTCGCATGTCTTAGACTCAGCACAAATCCGATGCACGCAAGGTAAGATTTAAATGGCATAAAAAATCAACACCAAGTAAAATCATAAAAGTAAAATTTAAATTGCTCAATTCATTAGGGTTTGATATGCATTCTCGCCCGCCGCCGCCGCCGCCATTGTCGTTCAACAGTGACGACAGTCTCTCCCTCTCTTTCTCCGAGAAATAATATGTCCCTTTTAGTCGATTATGGCACGGCGGATATAATGTCTGATAACGAGCTTATCTAGCTTACACTCGGTGCACGTGAGTGCAAGATAAGTAAAACCCATATCGGTCAATGCATCCAATGACTCGTGTGCCATGGACTCGCGCACATCCGACGCATGCCGGGTTATTTTTACGGCGACCCCGTAAGAGTGCGTGAATGCATAACAAAACACCCCCGTTCTGGTTCTCCATCCGCTCAATAAAAAAAGATTAGCGAGCAACCATGGAAAAAACCCTAATCGTGTTGATCTTCGATCAGAACAAGAAAGTAGTTGAAGATGGACATCTAAAAGTTTGATAATGACACTATGTACCTATAAAGCTAAACCAAAAAAACAAAAGTAACTCTAATTAATCATGGCTATGTCCAATGACCCTTTTATTTAAATCTCATCGAAAGATCTTATTCGCTCCATTATAAAAAAAATATAGAATTTAGATTGTTATTTGTTGAAATTAGTCGTTCAATTACACAGTTACTAGTATACAGATTGTTATCTGCCGATATTAGTAGCTGTATATTCACTGATTCATCAACAAATCCCTACATTAGCTCATACCAAGTTTATTTTAGGGAAAAATTACCCAATCAGTTCTAAAACTATTGTCCGGATGTCAATTCAATCTTAAATTTATCAATTTCATCAATTCAGTCCTAATCCTCCGAGCGAAGTTCCATCGTATCCCCTCCAGTCAATTTTTCTCCGGGTATCGCCGACGTGGTGGTCCAATCAGTGCCTGCCGGCTGTCCTACATGGCAGTGCGGGGGTCGCTTTATATATTTTCCGAAATGGTTACATATAATAGGGGCATGATGCGAAATTAAAATTTTTTGTTTGTTTTAGTGGAGTAGATAGATAGTGATAATGAAAGTGAGGGGTGGTCCTATCGACGGCCAATGCGTCAGATAGCCAAACAAAAGTCTGGTAGTTGGGGGATTAAGATAGTGGCTGCATACAGTTTTTCTGGTGCAAGCAACAATAATAAGACATAATTAGGTTTCTGATTTGAGAGTCATCGAATAACACGTGGGTGTATAGTCCATTTTTTTTTTAATAATTTCGTCACATTAAATTATTAAGCAAAGCGCAATTAATTATAGCTCCGAATACTTGCTAATTTGTCAATGATTGTCTATAACTTCTTCTTCCTTTTTTTTTTCCTTTTCAGATCCCTGTGATTAAACAGTTATTATGTAATTAGATCTCCTAATTCGCGTATTGATGATAAGCGGGAGAAAATTCAACAGACGGTCGCGTATAATACGGCTAATTTTCGAGCATTTTTTTTACACTATTCCCATTTAGAATGCTAAAATGACACTGAGGGTACTTTTGTTTCATGAAAAATGAATTATAAAAATGGTTGCTTGTATCGCTTACAAAAGTATATGGACTAAAGATATTTTGATCGTCCACGAAATGTTTAGACATAAATGGTTGACGGCGAGCGAGCTCAGAGTGAAGTGAGCATGGGAATGCGATCGTGCGGAAGTGGTACTCTCGATGAGTAAGAACGAAGACAATGAAAAAGAAGAATAAGAGGATTCCATTTACCCCGCCCGAGAGCCGGACTCGGTCCGGTGCAATACCCGATTCCCGGATAGAAATCGGATCACCCGAGATTTCGCTCGTGATAAAAGTCTAAAGAAGGGTGAAGGAGACATGGCCGTCTGCTTTGATAATGGTCTTTACGTGCGGACACAGAAGACGTGCGCACTTGGGTTTCGGAGTTAGGGTTTGGTCGTGTAGGAGCAAATTCAGACCGCAGGAGCCACAGAAATGACGTCCCTATCGCAGAAAGCATTCAGATATTTATTTATTTATTTATTTATCATCGTTAATAAACATGTTTGTTAAGTTAAGCATCCCCCCCTTTAAAAAAAATTACACTTACATTATTTTATTATTAATCATTAATTAAACATGTTTAAGAGAGAGAGAGGGAGACTCTCCGGTCGTTTACGGGTTTGATGGGTGTAGCGAATTTTGGATGCGGTTGAGCTGATCTATCATCATCACCATCCGTCACATTTTTCTGAGTCAAATCACAAAAAGAAGAAAAAAGAGCGAAATAATTATTTTTTAAAATGGGATAATTAATATTTTTTTATTATTATTTTTGGGTGCGAATATATGGAAACGCAAATCTGAAAGATTCTCTGAGGTTTCTTAATCATAACTCCAGATTTTCTCGCTTTCCACATGATATCTTCTTATCTTGGGCGCCTGACGCGGTCGAAGATTTGAGTTTCTTTTGCTGTTCTTCTTCTTCTTTCTTTTATTTTTTTTTGGATATATGCGCTAGAAGTCCTAAAACTATATTTAGTCCATATATTTATGTCTAAACATTTGGCGAGGGTCACGCCCTCCACCAGATCGGGGCCGGTATGCCCTCGCCGGGGACTAGAGGGGCCTCGCCCGGGGCCGGCGAGGGTTGTCGAGCTTCGGGAAGGCCCAGGCGACCTATGTCGGCCCTTCTCGACAACTGTGGCGATGGCTTGGCCACCGCCATGGCCGCTGGTTGGGGCTCCTCTTTTTTTTTTTTTAATTGTTTGTCTTTTTCTAATTTAATTTATGCTTTTCATTTTTTTTCTGACGTGGCGCTTGTTGGACGTCACGTGTCTCGAAAAATTAATAAAATAAGACACGTCAGCATTTTCCGTTAGTAAATTAAACGGTGTTAACTTTAGGACTCGATTGAATCAATTTGACAAGTTTAAGGACTCGATTGCACATTTTGTGAGTTTTAAGACTTAACTGCACTTTTTTGACAAGTTTTAGGACTTCTAGTGCAAAAAATTTATGTAAGAAAATGCATATAAAGGAGTAAGTAGATGAGTAAATCAATTGAATACAAATGCAAGTGGTAAAAAATAGAAAAGATAAGATAAGTCGCCACCGATGATCCCGACATTTTATGGATTGTGCGTCTGGAGAGATTTCTACATTCAATCTGTTGTTTAAGTTAAATTTGGATTAATACTACGAAAAATCTCAAATCGGTACAAATGTGATAAATTTACCTCAAACTTATTTTTTTGTCATTAAAAACCCCAAATTAGTACACCTCTAACAAATTTACGCTAAACTAATTTTTTGACTACAAAAAAATTCAAACGGAACATTTGTAGCAAATTTACCCTTCGTTAGTTTTCATTAAATTGGACCAATACAACGAAAAACTATAAGCTGGTACACCTGTGACAAATGGAGGATAAAACCTCAAATCGATACACTCGGTTTAGGATTTTTGTCGATCAAAACATTAGTCTTGGATTAAATTTGTCACAGGTTTACTCAATTTGTGATTTTTTGTGGTAACCCTATAAATTTTACTATCGAAAAATTTTGGTTTTTTTTTTCTTATCCCGAAATATCCGAAAAGTTTGTAATATATAAACATTTTACACGTTAATTCAAATATACTTTTTTCTTGGATTTTTCGAAATTTAACAACGAAACCCAAAAAACTTTTTTTTTGCTTTTTAGAAAGTTTGAACTAACGGGGCCGTCATTTGGATGAGGTCATGCCGTCGTAAAAAACACAATTTTAGCTATTCCCATGATTTATTGGCAATTTCTTTTGGAACCATATTTTAAATATGAAATGTATTTTTCTTTTTTTCTCCCAAAAAGCAATGCTAGTAGTGATGGTTGTTGTCTTTTCCTAAATACCATTCAACAACCCATCTTCCCAATTCTGGTCGCTTGCCACCTCATTATTCCCCCCCTTTTTTTCTTTAAATTTTTAATTCCTCACTTTTTTTAAGAACTGAAAAGAAAAAATAACACAAACGTCATCGAACTTTGATCCGATACGTGATGTGGTCCAAAAACCTTTAAATTTATTTAATGTGTGCCCTGAACTTTAACCCGATATGTAATACGGACCCTAAATTTTTAATTTGTTCAATGCCGTCTCTGTTCAATTCAAGGACTATATTGAACGTGCACAAGTGTCCGCATAAAACATCATGTTAAAGTGCAGGAACTATATTAAATAAATTAAAATTTCAGAAACTACTCAAAGTTCAGAAATTATTCGTGTCATTATTTCAATTAAAAATTGAAATAACCTCCAAAAAGAAAAAAAAAAGGGAGAAAAGAAATATAGTTTCTAGCAAAAGCAGTAGCACGGACCGATCCGCTGAGCTCGCGTCACCCTAACATCTCCCCGCTCCCGTCCTCTCTCTTTCTTTCTCCCTTTCACACCCGAACCCCAAAAACCACGCCGCACGCTGTCCGCGAAAAAACACAATTTTCTTCCCCCCTCGCCGGTGCCAAATGACCATTTCGCCCCCTCCCGCCCATCACCATTCACCACCACCAGTAACACCCGCTCTCTCTATCTCTCTCATGAATGACCCACACTGATCTTTTGAGTGCAACAGTGGGCAAAAGGAGAGGCAAAGAAAAAAACAAGGAAGAAGAGAAAGGAGCTTTTTGGGCCTTGAAGTGCACCTCCTCCTCCCCCATCTTCTCCCTTCTTCCTTCTTCCTTCTTCTCCATCCTTGTTGCTCCATAGAAAAACCAGAGACAGCTCCTCCTCGTCCTCGTCCTCCTCCTTCCTCCCGCAGAAACCAAGAAAGAAAGAGGAGGGGTGTTGAAAGATCCAATCTTTTGTGCCACCGCAGAGCAGTCGATTCCCCTATGATCATCATCATCATCGTCATCCTGTGGAGGTGAGGTGAGCAAGTTGTTTTATTCCCTCTTCTCTCCTTTTGCAGATCAGATCAGAGGCTCTCTCCTTCTTCTTTAAGTTCATGGTAGAGCAGGGAGGTAACTTTCTGAAACCAGAGCATGTATCGGCTTCACTTCACTTTCCTTTCCACAAAGTCATCAAAATCTCTCTCTCTCTCTCTCTGCATTCATTGCCCCCCCCCACCCCCCGGCGCATGGTTTTTGGCTTCCCCTTCCCTAGCTCCCTGAATATCATGGGCCTCTGAAAAAGTTCCAAGAAAACCCACCAACTCTCTCTCTGTGTCTAGCTTTCTCTAGCTCTGGTCATGGATTCTGGGAACAGTAGCGCGAGCTCGCAGTCCTCGGGCGGCGGCGACGACGAGCCGTACGCCTCCCGCGCCGACATCTCCTCCCTCTTCAGCGCCGCCGCGTCCTCCGCCCACCACCACCATCACCAGCAGCCGCCGTCGCTGCACCACCACCACCACCACCACCAGCTGATGTTCGACCCGTCCTCCGTGCTGTCCAACTACTTCGACCCTTTGACCCGGTCGGCCCCGCCCGCGAGCCCGAGCCCGCTGCTGAACCTGGACGCCGCTTGGCCCAGGAGCCCGAGGCCCGACCCCGGCTGCGCCGATCTCGGCGGCGTCCCGCCGCAGCAGCAGTCGCCTTTCCTGGGATTCGGCAGAGGGCCGCCGCCCGGTGGCGGGGTGGCTCCGGTCCAGTTCCCTCTGGCGCAGGAGAGCCCGAAGTCGGTGCAAGGTCAGGCCGCGGCTCCGTCGGCCGCCGACAACGGCAACAACGCCGGGAGCGCCAACGCCCCTGTGCGGAATCCGAAGAAGAGATCGAGGGCGTCGAGGAGGGCGCCGACTACGGTGCTGACGACCGACACGACCAACTTCCGGGCCATGGTACAGGAGTTCACCGGGATCCCGGCGCCGCCGTTCGCGGCGTCGCCGTTCCAGAGGAGCCGTCTCGATCTCTTCGGGACGGCGCTGCGATCGGGCCACCTCGACGCATCCTCGTCGCCGCCGCCACCGTATCTCCTGAGGCCGTTTGCCCAGCGATTCCATCACCCTCCTCAGACCTCCTCGTCGACTCCGTCGTTTCTGGGTCCTTCGTCGATGATCGACGCCTTAGCTTCTTCTTCTCCGGCGGCGACAACTACTAACACCAACACCACCAGCAACGAAAACGTCACTTCTGGTAACAATTCGGCGACGACCAACGCTGGCACTACTACTAATGCAGCTCCTCCATTGCCACTAGGCCTCTTGAAGCATCCACAGAACCTGCTCATCAACATGAACGCTCAACACCCGATTCTTGATTTCGGGAACTCCCTCTTCCAAGCCTCTCTCAAGTATCCTAACCTGCCCGGACCCTCCGCAATGGACGGCGCAGCCACCGATCATCATCCTCATTCAAATCTCCGAATGGGGGCTTTGGAGGACTTTGGCTTGAGCCACACGGCAAGCATTCGGCCGCCTTCGACCGAGAGAACCTTGACGGAGAACAACGACACGACTACAGCGGCGACGAACTGGAGCGACAGAGGAGTCGGGGAGGGCGGCGATCACCATCAGAGATTACTGAGCTCTCTCGGTGGTGGCGGCGGAGGCGCCGGCAATTACGGCAACGATGAGGATCATCCTCGGAGACCGACGAACGGGAGGGTTTTCACCTACTCGGGCAACGACAACCCCTCGGCCCCGGACCGTTTCCACGGCGATAGAGGCCCGGAGGCCGCGGCCATCAACGCGAGGAGCGAAGGTATGGTCGAGTCGTGGATTTGCTCGTCGGATTAAAGCTGATTATAGGATTGATATAATCACCAACACCATTCTCTCTAAAGACAGTTTAAGAAATCAAGAACAGGAGGTAGGGAATTTTTACGCATATTACGATGAACAGATGATCGAACCGATGATGGCAGAGGGACGTAGCTGAGGAATGTGATACAATCCCCATGCATAATGTTTCCCTCCCAAAAAAAAAGAAAAAAAAATATGAACATCACACGAATATAGTTTTACTTCTTTTTTTCCTTCTGGGGTTTTCCTGTTCTTCTTTTCGCTTGTGATTATTATCTGTAAATGATAGCATCTTGGCTTGAATCCAATCTCATTCTTCCTATCTCCTAACTGTCTGAACATCACCTGCATATTACAGATGAAAAAACTTCCATTTCTTTCGTTCGTCCGATGATGTCTCTCCTCGTAAATTGCTGCCCTTGTGTTCCTGCGCGATACCCTCGTACCGGTGTTCGTGTTGTTCTTGGGTAGATAAGAATCATAGGGGCGAAAACTACATTAAAATCAGCATATTAACGTATAGAAGAACGAGTCAAATCATGAATTAAAACCTTATTATAATCTCAAATGGCGCATGAAAGTGGGGGGAAGAAGATGATGTTGGTGCAACGCCCGGGAATGGCTCGAAGTTGATTTTCCCTTTTTGTCATGTTTCGACGATCTCCCGCTTTCACACGCTTGCTTTCCGGAGTTCGAGCTATATATTTTAAATTGATATTTCTTTATTCGGTGATAAAAGGGCCTTTTAAAAAAAAAGGGGTTGAAAAATATCATGTGGATGAGTGATTGGTGGCGAGATTAGAGGGGGTGGTCAGCCGCCGCAAATCTAAAATTTTCAGATCTTGTGTAGTGCTTTTAATTAGTCTTCTTTGTTTTTCGTGTCACATGCGCTCCCAATTGCACTCGAAATTATTTATTTTCTATTGTAATTAATGCATATAATATATATGTATGTGTGTATGTATGTATGTAAGTGTATATATTATGTATTTTATTGTTATTTGAGTTAATCTTGGAGAATGGGACGGAGGGTAAGAGCTTCTGCTACGCATGCATGAATAATTTAAGTATTCATTCTATATCTATGTCTATATATGTATATTAAATTGATGTTTGTATAATAATAATTATAATAATTAATTGCGTGTACGTAAACTAAGCAAAGTCGAAGGCATGTCTGGAGGACCGCTGTCCCCACTAGAAGCCATACCTGATCTCGGAGGGATTTCAGCTGTTAGGTGCTTCGACTATATTTTTAACAAAAAGTAACATAAAAAATTTTAAAAAATTTTTGGAGTCAACTGAAAATAACAAAAAGGGTTGATATAAGACACTAATATTGTCAAATTCTAAAAGTTTTCTATCATTATCGAATATGTAGCTACTTTGATTCTATTATTTCTAGTTGGTGTATCCAAATTTTTGGGATAGTTATTACATCGGTGTAATTTTTTTTGCTCATTCACCATTGGAGAGGTGACATGTTGATAAATTCAATTAAACACTTAAGTCTAAGCACATATGTCACCTATGGACGGTGAATCTGTAAGAAGTTCTTTAAATGGGCAGTGAAATTGATAAAAGTCCTAGAGTTTATGCCTTGCTTGTCTTGGCTGACCTAAATTAAATTTTTAAGTGACGGGTGTTATCTTACTCTCCTGTTCTTTTGACACGAGAGTGTCATCCTTAAAATTCGTCATGAGATGAGATTATCGTGATCTCGACAAAATTACTATTCAAAACACACGAGTGTTTAGGGGCGATTCTTTCCGAAAATAAGAGGGTTCTCACACTTTTCGCGATTGTTTTCGAGACTCGGGTTTCGAAGCACGTTAAGAAATTTTAGAATAAAGTGATTTGAATTTCTCGCAAATAGATCGATCGAGGGTCATTACTCGGCCCGTCCTCAACCAAAGTGACCCTTTTCTTTACAGATATGGACGAGTGGTCCGTGCCTCATCCCAACCACTAGATCTCTCGAGTGTCGAGTCCCAAAGTTTTTAAGGTAGTAGTTGAGGTCATACTCTCCTGTTCTTTTGATACGAGAGTGTCATCCTAGAATTTGTCATGAGACGAGATCGTCGTGATCTCGACAATATTACTACCCAAAACACACGAGTGTTTTGGGGCGATTTTTTTCCAGAAAAAGGGGCTCTCACACTTTTCTTGATTGTTTTCGAGACCCGGGGTTCGAAGCATGTTAAGAAATTTTAGAATAAAGTGATTTGAATCCCTCGCAAATAGACCGATCGAGGTCAATTACTTGGCCCGTCCTCAACCAGAATGACCCTTTTCCTTACAGATATGGACGAGTGATCCGCGCCTCATCCCAACCATAAGATCTCTGGAGTGTCTAGTCCCAAAGTTTTTTAGGTAGCAGTTAAGGTTACTAGGGGAAAGAGTTGTCCAACCCCCCAAAAAAATAAAAAAACCCAAAATACAAGGTTGACACACAACTATAGGAAAGGATAATTTGGTTCCCCACCAAAAGCTACAAAAGCCTAACACTTAATCAAAAACCAAATGATAGTAACACATCTTTTTAGAACTGAAAAACTTGAAATAAAGCTTGCCCTCTCTAATCGACCACCCCCCCTAAAACCGTCATCATGATTGCATTTGCCAAAGGCAAAGGCCGGTGATGTGTTTCATCCAAGAAAACCCAAAAGCGGCTTCTCTTTCTTTCATTTCAGTGTGTTTGTATGTCTGATTGATAGATCATGATATCTCTCTTTTTTTCATATATATTTCAATTATGCATCTCTCCACCTTTTTGTGTACCTTTTGGTATGATGAGAAAGACGGGAAAGAGAGCTTCAAAATTTTTTGAATCTTTGGGAACAGTTGTAGGCTATGATGGCATATGATATGAGATCTGTCTTGGGTTTTCTTTAAAAGAAAGAAGGAAAAGAAACAATAGGTGACCTCTTTTCCGCACCATCTTTTTAGTTTTAGGTTTTAGCTTTTTAGCCATGGATGCACAAATGAAGCAAGTGGGACTTTGGAGGATCTTTAGGGTGAATCTTGAATCACTTCTGTTTTTGAGGGGGGGGGCATTGTGGGTGGCCCATGCATGCCAGTGAATAGCAATTGCTTCTTGAGGGCAATGATGGCTCTCCTCACTCCCCTAAATGGGAACTCATAATTCATCCCCGGCCCACCGGGCCCCAGGGTCCATCCCCCCTCGAACGGCAAGTCCAAGGCCGCGTCCGGGAATAGTTACCCGATACGACTGGACATTGAGATAATCGCGGTCGCTCAAGACTGACGGAGTGCTCGAAGAGTAACGCGTGATTCGTTTGAAAGATTGTATCGTGTGCATAGTTATGTGTGTTCCCCCTATTTTAAAATTTCGAATTACTCAATTGATCACAGGAATAATTGGCCAATTAGCTCTAAGCTTTCTAATTTTGCCGATGTAGTTCTAAACTTTTGCGTGAAGTTCCGATGTCGTCTTTCTGATCAGTCGCTGTCCAATCATCGCCGGCCGTCTACATGGCACGCTGACGTGGACAAGCTGTGGATCGCCACATCAGCGATTCCCTGCGGCAATTGGTCGAAAGGACTGCATTAGAATATCGCATAAAGGTTTAGGACTGCATTGACGAAATTTGAAAGCTTAGGACTGAATTGGCACATTTACAGTAGGTTCAGGACTGATTAGATAATTTTTCCGTGATCGTATATTGTTTTGAGCAGACAGGGTGATATGACATGTCTAATCCAGGACAAAGAATATGTTTGCGTGTTCAAAATCCACACGATTCTACATGGTCCCAATACCATATGACAGCTCATGAAAGCACATTTGCATTTGCTAGATCAAAAGGCTTTACTCAGAACCAAACGTGAATTGACACACCTTTGTCAGCGTCTGAAAACGATCATAAACATGTTGTTTCGTCATAAAAAGGATAGCGTTTGTGATTTAGATACGTGTTCCCAACATGAACACGGCCACCGCAGTGTTCACACGGCTGTCGACAACGCGAACGTTTTTACGACAAAATGAACCGGCTTAGGGCTACCCCCAACCGGGATACGATACGGTGATGCGCCTTGGACGGCCGGATCATCCGACCCGGCTGTGACAAAAGTCCAAGTTACCCAAGTTTTCACTTTTCTCGCACTTTTCTTCTGCTTTTAATGACATGAGTTTGGCGATGGACTTGGTGCAGCAGTAGGTAAAAAGTGAAATACAACTAAAAGCAAAGCACAAAAAGAGGTAAAGCTACTTGGGAGAGGATGCAAATGTTGGTCCACGTTTCTTGAGCGAAAAAGGACTGGAAAAGATCACTGAATTGACTAAACCAGTCTCCCTGTTTCAGTCAATTCCAGAGTACTCAATACATGAACTCCAATGGTGGACAGTCCGGAATCAATCTGACTCAGAAGTTACACGATAACGTGGTGAGAGATTCTATCATGGGGGTCGCCAACTCGAACCTTCTCGTGACAAAGTGTGCGATCGCATAGGGGAAATCCAGACCGTACAGAGAGACGAGTCCTGGAGAGTTCGTGACATTGATTGCTTGTTTACAAGCCCGCGAAGATTCACGCGCATTGCGTGTTCCACGTTATTCTCCGACGTTCGTGAAAGTTCACTGCCTGGAAAGCAGAGATTTCTCATCATTGTCATCCAAATCAACCCATTCCTCCGTTCCATAATCTCTGTCGATCACGCCACTCCCCTTCTCATAAGCCCCATTCGATATCGCCGTATCAAGGTCGGAGAAATCTTCGCCTGTACAGGGGCTATCGACCTCGATCTGCTGCATTTCCGTGAACGCATCCATTCTAGCGTGCTCTCTGTCTCTCGGGTACGTGCAGTAGAGGAAAGAGTAAATAAGGCAACAGATGGCCATTGGAATGCCCATAGCAGCATAAAGCGCCTTGGCAAGTGATGCAGCATTTTCTCTATCTGTCTCGATCTCTATTGAGTTGGATGATCCCTCAGGGATCGGTTTATACCCATATACATGCTCAGCCAGGATACCGACCAGCAGGGGAGCGAATGACGAGAGGATGGACTCGAAAGAGTTGTCCAGCGCGTAGATGCTCGTTCTGGATTTCTCAGGGACAATCTCTGCAAATATTGGACTAAGTGCTGCGTTAGTATACGCAAGAAATTAACTGGAGAAATATGTAGTAATAATACATCTTCAAGCCACAGAATTCAATGTCGGTTCATCAACTAGGGATCTGACAGGCAACATCTAATAACCATGTTCGTGCGACGAGAGGGCGATAGAACCTACTAGTTACACTTACTTGTTTGTGGCTGGGGCATCCCAGGATGTGCACAGCCCCATGATAAGTAAAAGGAGACCATGCATGAAAGCTGTGGAAGGATCATCAGGCAACGCCAGAAGCAAAATCGCAGCTAAAGGAATGGCCGAAGCAGCACTTATCTGCGACAAGATTATTCTCCCCGAGTTGGGCAAGCGCTTGGCAAGAACATCCCCCATCCAACCTCCAAATAGACCACCAAGTGAGAAGCCGATGATGAAGACCGTCATAAGGAAAGCCGTCGTACTGTGCGTGAAGCCAATGAGCTCCAACCACATTGGGGCAAATGAAAGAGCCGACCCTGAGAATGACCCAAATACACCCTGAGCCACTATTATCTGAAAGGACGGGATTCTAATGACCGATTTCGATTCTTTAACCAGGTCTTTGACATCTGACCAGAAGGGCTTGTGCGAATTCTGATCTTTAACGAGGTTATTGTCATCGGAAAATTGAGGATCGCTTGCAAAGAGCTGCACCAGAACACCAACGATGACACTTACTAGTCCAACCAGGTGAAAAGCAATTCTCCAACCAGGGATTCCCAGGAATGATGTTGAGGCTATTAAAACAGAACACAACGATCCAATGATGGCACCAAGGTTCCCCGTTAGCTGCAGCCATCCAAACGCCATCCCACGGTTGCTCTCGTCCGTGCAGTCGGCAACGAGGGACTGGATAGCAGGTATCACTATTGCGAGTCCAATGCCATTCAAGCCTCTTGAAATTGCTACCTGGAAAATAAAAGAGAGAAATCGCTAAACACAGCAAGGTACTTTGCAATTGCATTTACATACAAGAAGTCCCTCACCGAAAGACGAAGTCATTCAATTGCCTATATTCCTACCAGAAAGGGCAAAGATTCTATTTGTGAAGCAGTCGTTCTTTTCTTTCCTCATTTTGGTAAACTGTAGCAAAAAATTTAATTTGCAGCTTGTTGAAGCAGTGCGACGGCAGAGATATTTTGCGCGTGCTTGTATCAGTACTTGTACTTCTCATGCTTATGACAGAACTAAACCAAGATCTCCTGATTCTTTGCGTGCGAATCATATCCATATCATCCTAAATCTGACTAATCCTATTGAAACAATACTTCCACACCTGAATCATATAGATCTTTGTCAATTGTCACGGAGATTCTGTCAAAAGGATGGAATAAGTTTTGTCTGGAAGACTTTGTCAGAGGACTTCTTGAGTCTAGTCATGGTTGGCTCTAGCCCCAACATACATGCATTATGGAAAGTGCATTTAGCAAGTTGAAAGCAAATGTCCATTTCTTTGAAGTGCTGGAAATCTCATTCCATCAACGGTAAAAGCAGACGTTGCTGAATTAATTCGACATAAACGGACGATTCAAAGATTGAGGACCGAGTGGCATAACTCCACGCTGTCAAGACCGATTCCAAGGACAACCTACCGAACTGCAGGCTTCGCAATTACATCAATGCGAACATTCTATTATAACTAACAAGATCCATACCAAGAACATTTTCTCAGATCATTCTGTGATGCTGTACAAGTATCATTACCCTGTACTAGATTCTTGGAAAAAAAAAAGAAGCCCAACAACCCCAACGAAAGTAATACTAGATTCATCTCCTCTCAATCATCAATCAAGCGCAGGCAACTGAAACATTGAGAACCCAATCACTCACCCACCAAACTGAACACAACCCAATCACTCCCTCACCAAACTAGACCCCACCCACCAAGAATCAGAGAGGGAAACAGAGGGGGAGACCTGAAGAAACGTGGAAGAAACGGCCACGAGGAAAGTGGCGGCGGCCCAGAGGAAAGCGCCGAGAGCTATGACGCGGGCACGGTCGTGGCGGGCGGCGAGGTAAGCGGCGAGCGGATAGCAGCAAGACTGGACGACGGACCGGACCAGCGTCAGCGACCCGAGACCCGTCGGATCTATGTGCAGGGCGGCGCCGACCTCCTTGTACACGCCCGGAAGCAGGGACTCGTCCGCCCTCTCCATGATCCCCGCCAGATTCACCAGCACCAGCGTCAACGTCTCGGACCTCATTGGCCTTGCTGTGTTCCAAGAACCGAGGAATCCGGAAATGAAAAGGTGCGTTGAGCTTTGCTTATGCGGGAAGGTGATTTGACAGTTTGACTACTTGGGAGAGGCTAAATCTAAACATGACACTTGTAAGTTTTCCAATTTTTTTTACTTGCAAGCTGAGAGCCTACTTTGCTATGATTTTTTTTAGGCCTTGATTTTCTTTTTTTTCTTCTCCTGATCTAATATGTGAATTTTTTTTTGACTCGTTTGATGTCTTCTTTTGCTAATTATTGTTGTTTTTCTTTGCTCGTTGTAGTGAATAAATCTGCTTACAGTTGAAAATTTATGAGAACATCATCATTATTTAGTTAGCCGAATGCCCGTGACGTGGTTCCCTGACTTCTCCAAGATTAGATGGAAGCTCTCTCTTTCTAATTTAGGCGTAGATCTAAATCTGGGAGCTTTTCTCTTTTAATCTAAGTCTAAATATGGAAGTTCATAGGGGCGTCCGATTTGTGGTGGTTAACATGTTATTGTCTTCGTATGACGATAGTGTTGAGGACATTGAACTTAGGCACGCACTGCAAGCCATAATTTCTAGAGGGAAAGATCTCGACATGTGCTCATCACTGACGATTCCGGAAATTGATCGCCGATTGTTTTTTAATGCTGCGACAGATCTGGTCTTTTGGGATGATGGCATGATTATAACTTCAAGCTGTACTCTTTTATTTTCTGGATTTTGTTTTGTTTTGGCAGCTCTTTTGGGGATTTGCTTTGCTTGGAAGCTTTATATGTTCCTCCTATGTATGATTATGACAAATGAATGGAAAATAAAAAAAAAATTTGGGCATTCTTATGAAGCATAAATTTGGGTTTTTTTTTCTTGATTAATTCCCGAAACGTGATTCTCTTATCAATGCTCGACACAATCTATACATATGTTCCTTGATTATGGTTAAAATCATGATTAGTTTGCGAAATGAAAAAGGCACAATTTTTGTTCACAAAACGTCACCGATGATAACATTAGGACTAGATTGGATCTAGGCAAAAGGTTTGTAACTTGATTGATCGAACATCAAATGCTTAGGATTCAATTGACTAGTGATTAACATGGTTAACCCAAAAAACAGTTCTTCCAACATAATATCGGAATACAAGTTACAAGCTCAAATGTGGGATTCCCTCTATGAATTATATGCGTCACTTTCTATTTTTGTCCTTTTTATTATAGGATAAGTGCACTGGAAGTGCCAAAATTTATTACGAAAATGCGATTGAATTCTAAAACTTATCAAATTGGAGCAATCAAGTCATTCCGTTAAGTTCATTCAACTTGGCTAACGTAAAATACTGACGTGGCTTTTGTTTTATTGTTTTTTTCTCTTCTATTTGGCGATGACGTGGCTAAAACATAAAACATAAGACTAAAACGACGTCGTCTTGGTCAAAATTTGATTTTTCAATAAACTCTTATCTAAATTATATAAAAAAAGCAAAATTAAAAAAAAATACAATTAGAAATCAGATTTTAACCAAAATGAAGTTGTTTTAGTTATGCCAGTGCCATGTAAGAAAGAGAAAATAAAAAAAAAAGTCATGTCAACATTTTTCGTTAGCCGAATTGGACGGAGTTAACAAAAAAACTTGATTGCACAAATTTGATAAGTTTTAAGACTCGATTGCACTTTTTGAAAGTTTTACGATTCAATTGCACTTCGTAACAAGTTTTAGGACTTTCAGTGCACTTATCCCTTTTATTATACCTTGGATTGTGTGTATGATGTGATGGGTCCACAATTTATGCTTTCCATGAAAGATTTGAATTACGTACAATGGAGGGTGTTAAGAATTGTATTATGTAATTACTCAGAGTATCTTGATAATCTACACCATTCAGAAATTTGCTTTTAATAAGGCTATGTTTCGTAGTTACGATAAAAGTTCGAATAAAATAAAATTTATCCAATCTTATGTTTGGTTCTTACTCAAGGTTGGATAAAGTCAGATATAAAGGGGATAAGGCTCAGATAAAAATATCAAAGGGGGAGGTCGAATAAAGGTAGATAGAATTTCTTATATTCATGGCACAAAAAATATTACTTGAATAACAAACTTTTTAAATTAAAAAATTAAAACTTTAATTAAGTATATGATAATATTTGCATTCTAATATAAAAAAAATCAAAATAACATAAAGATAATGGACATTTTCGTTTTTTATATTCCTATTTTCATTTATATATTTGAATTTCTACTCGTTAATATTTATTTAGTATCTATATTTATTACATTTTTTTATGTATATTAATATATTTATTATTTAATAAAATTTTTATTGAGGAATGATGGAAGTGAATAAAAAAATAGAGGAAAAATAATTAAAAAATAAGTAAATAAAAATGAAGTAGAAGAATCCTGATTTTAATGAACAAATGCAAACTGATTTTTCTAATTCACTCTGTCTCATTCTTCTCCATATCTCTAGTTCATGTTGAAGTTTCATGACCTCTTTGTAGTTCTTTATTCACATCAAAACTTCACGAAAATAATGAAAGAGCCGAAGCTTCTTCTCCTCTATAACTCTATGGTTCACGTCAAAAGTTCATAAAAGTAACAAAAGAGTCGAAACTCCTCTTTTTTGTTACTATGTGGTTGATGTTGAAGTTTCACGAAATCGGCAAGACAATCAAAACACTATACTTTTCGGAATCGCAAAGGTGAATAATCATGTTTTTTTTCTCTTTTACTAGATTTGGCGTTTTGATTAATCTATATTGTCGATGTTATTGTAGTCCGTTTACATTTCTTGTCATTGTCGAACATGTGGCTTCGGAATGCTGCAATAAGCTCTTTTTATTTTGTTTAAGATGTGGATTGTATAATAATTATGAATTGATTGATGAAGGTAATCTCCATTTATGCATTTGTGATTTCTTTAGCAGTGAATCACGAGAAATTCTTGCCATCTCGTTTGCGTATTTTCAGATTCATTTACATCGATATACCGTTCATACCAAACAATAAATTTGATAGGATATGAAAAACTCTAGTTTTATACCACGATCCACCAAACAGTGAATACGATATAGTAAAATCCTAAGATTTTATATCGTATCTTATCCTGTCTTATCTTAATTAGAATCCAAACGACCAAACGCACTCTAAGATTATTACGAAGCCAATCCTTGCGAATCTTCTAGTTCGATATCAATGGTCTTCATTTATGATCTTTCTTGAATCGAAAGTTGATTTGTACACCCCGTGAGATCCGTCGGATTGTACAATTCACATCAGTCTTTCACCTTTTTTATAGAGTAGATGCACATGCACACTTATACAAATCCTAGAGAATCAGATTCTCGAGGATCTGGTGACTATCGGATCTCGAAAGAACAAATCTCGATCGCTCATCGAAAATCCGCTTTCTAGAATCCCTACATTCTTAAGACAGAACCTAAAAAAGAAGCAACTGCATTTTGATTGGGTGTGGGCATCGTAGAAAGAAAATGGTTAAGCAGTCGTCCTTCCTCAATTTCCTTCCTCGCATTGAAAGGCAAAAATTGCCCCAACAGACATCTCCTTCGACCCGTCCCCACGACATCTCATCCGTACACGTGGAACGCCGCCTCCAGATCCTACTGTCTTGGGCCCCATTACCCTCAGCCGGGAGGCCCCACACTACGTCCCCTCAGCCAATCAGATGCCTTCGCAGTCCCCCACCGACACCGCGGTCAACGTCAAACCAAGTCGTCACCTCCCCTCGCTCGCGTGCCTCCAAAGAGAACTTCCTTCTTCCCTGGAAGGCGCAGAGAGAGAAGGAGAGAAGTTTCCGGTCCCCGCCGTTCTTGGAGCGGCGCTAGAACAGGAACACGATGAAGCCGGAGACGCTGACGCTGACGCTGGTGCTGGTGAATCTGGCGTCCATAATGGAGAGGGCGGACGAGTCCCTGCTCCCGGGCGTGTACAAGGAGGTGGGTGCCGCCCTCCACATCGATCCGACGGGCCTGGGGTCGCTGACGATGTACCGAGCCATCGTCCAGTCCGCTTGCTACCCGCTCGCCGCGTACCTTGCGACCCGCCACAACCGCGCCCACGTCATCGCCCTCGGCGCCTTCCTCTGGGCCGCCGCCACCTTCCTCGTCGCTGTCTCCTCCACTTTCCTGCAGGTCACCTCTCTCTCTGTATCTCCATCTTTGTGGGTGGGATCTAGTTTGGTGCGGGAGTGATTGGGTTGGGTTTGCTTTGATGGGTGAGTGGTTGGGTTGTCTTCCGTTTTGATCGTTTTGTACTTCAGTTGCTTGTTCTTGAATGGCAATTGGGAAGAGATGTGGATTTGGTCTAGCTCCTTTAGGTTATCGAGGTTTTTTCTGGAGATCTAGTAAAAGGGTACTGATATTTGAATTTTTAGCATAGTATAATGGTTGAGCAATGGAAGCATGTTACTTCTTGTTCGGTGTTCAAGAGACCCGGTGGTTACGAGCTTGCTTGGCTCGAAAGTCGGATAGTTTGAATAGGTCGTCGCATTGAGCGGTGGGTACTGTAATGCCCCACTTTGGCACTCTGCTCGGATGATGTAATTACTCAGCTTGCGATACCCTTTTTTTTTCCTTTGAAATTTATCGGCACGATGGAACCGAACCGATCTGGGCAGCGTGTGGAGTAATGCTGCTGCTCAAGCCAGGATTCTTGACCATCTGTCATTAGCAATCTCGAGTTAATGTGGCAGTGCTTTATACTATCTGTTATTGAATGAGACTTTGTGATCCTTAAAGGAATTCCGAATTTACCATTTGCTTTGAACTTGCTAAATTTACTCCCACTCCCCCCCTATGCGTATTCATGTAAAGTTTGGGGCTTGAGCAGAGTTTACATGTAACGAGCTCCAAAAAGAATCAGGAAGGAAGAGGAGATGGAAGAGCTTCCAGCATTAGTTGGATATCATTAAGTTACTAGAAGCGTGTTTTATGAAACTGCGACTATACACAAGAAGTTCATCTGAAGGAAACTCTTTGACAAAAATTTAAATGAGTTGGCATAGGCCTATTGTGTCAACGATATTGATATACTCACGAGGAAATGGTGGCGACTCAAACGCACAAAATCAAGTGGTTATCAAATGTGAAGTAAATAAAGAAATGACTGTAGTTCTCAACTGCTGCCAAATCTTCGCTTTCTGTGTTAAAAATGTCAGCTATCTGAAAGAAGTCCTTTTGTCTAAGAATTTGTGTACGCAATCACAATGTATCTTTTCCCTTTTCAGTATTGTTTCCCTTTCGTTTTCCAGGTAGCGATTTCAAGAGGCTTGAATGGGATCGGACTTGCGATAGTAATACCTGCGGTTCAGTCTCTTGTTGCAGACTCTACAAATGATAGTAGCCGTGGGATGGCGTTTGGATGGCTGCAGCTAACAGGCAACATTGGCTCCATAATTGGGTCGCTGTGTTCTGTTTTAATTGCCTCAACATCCTTCCTGGGAATCCCCGGTTGGAGAATTGCTTTTCACCTGGTTGCCATAATAAGCGTCGTCGTCGGTATTTTGGTGCGGCTTTTTGCTAACGATCCTCGAAATTCTGATGACAAAAATCTAGCTAAAGATCGGAATTCACTTACGTCCTTCTGGTCAGAACTTAAAGACCTGGTTAAAGAAGCGAAATTGGTGATGAGGATCCCATCTTTTCAGATAATAGTGGCTCAGGGCGTGTCCGGGTCATTCCCGTGGTCAGCTCTTTCATTTACTGCAATGTGGTTGGAACTCATTGGCTTCACTCACAAGACAACAGCATTCCTCGTGACAATCTTCATTATCGCTGGTTCTCTTGGTGGTCTTTTTGGAGGATATATGGGGGATATTCTCGCCAAACGCTTGCCCAACTCAGGCAGAATAATCTTGTCGCAGATAAGTTCTGGTTCAGCGATTCCTTTAGCTGCGGTTTTGCTCCTAGCATTGCCTGATGACCCTTCCACAGCGTTCATGCACGGTCTGGTTCTGTTTATCATGGGTCTGATCATATCCTGGAATGCCCCGGCTACGAACAAGTAAGTGTAGCAAGTAGATTCTATTACCTCTTCTTGCAGGAACTTGCTTTTTCTATACATTGCTTGTCCATATAGACTATGTTTTCAATGGTGCTTCCCCTTGTAGTGCTGTGCTTCTGCAATTCTGTGTGCCAAATTAGCAGCTTTAGATTCTAAAATTCTTCTCCAGTTGATTTCTTGCAAATATAAACGCAGCGCACAGTCCGATATTTGCAGAGATAGTCCCTGAGAAATCCAGAACAAGCATCTATGCACTGGATCGCTCTTTCGAGTCCGTCATAGCATCATTCGCTACCCCATTGGTTGGGATTATGGCTCGGCATGTATATGGGTATAAGCAACTTCCCAAGGGATCATCCGGCTCTGTAGAGATAGAAACAGATAGGGAAAACGCTGCATCTCTTGCAAAAGCCCTTTACACAGCCATCGGAATCCCAATGACAATCTGTTGCTTTATTTACTCTTTCCTCTACTGCACGTATCCGAGAGATAGAGACCGTGCAAGAATGACTGTGCTGATTGAATCAGAAATGCAGCAGATGGAGGTCAATAGCCCTCACTCAGAAGAAAATCTGGACAACCTTGATATGGCAAAGTCGAACAGTGGTTATGAGAAGGATAGGAGCGTGATCGACATCGATGACGGAATGGAGGAAAGTATCGACTTGGATGATAATGACGAAAAATCCTTGCTTTCGAGGCAGCTAACCTTTGCGGACGTCGAAGAATAATGAAAACCAGCAATTCCTGGCTCTTCTAGGAATCATCAAATCAACCAACTTTAGAGCACTCGTCTCTGTAAAAAGCTTTTCATATGGTAGGCATTTCCGGGATGTGATCTTGACACTTCTTCAAGAGACGATTAATGTACGTGACTACTATGATAACTATTCTTTTCCACTTCATTATTGTGTCATCTCCAAGTCAATGGATTTCAGGCTGTTTATCCTACAGATATTGAGTGCACAAATTGACTTGAACAGCGAGACCGGTTTATTTTGGATCTTCGTGTATGGAGTTTCGGTTTGTTCTGTCAATGTTGTTGCAATTGAATAGCATTGCTCTGTATCTGCTCTATGGGTGATCGGTTCCCATCTTGAAATTGGGAACCGGATCAGATAGGGTCGGTTCCCAATCTGTGGAACCGGCAACTGACCCTGTCCACCTAGAAAGCGGCGGTGTTCTTCAATGCTACAGCCATCCTCCACCCCACCCCATCTCTAGCATCATCGCGGTCTCCCCACCTTTAAGACAAGGCTGCCAACTCCCTCCAGGCCATGGGTAGCCCACGACCTTAGAACAAGGTCACGGCCTCTTCGTGACCGCGGATGACCTCGATCAAGGTCTACCGTAACCAAGCGTGTTTGTTATCTCCAAAATACCATCTCTCTCGTGTTTTAGGTAATTAGTGTGTTGAAAAGTACAACATTTCCACAGTAAGAATTGGTAAAGAGTTCTTTAGCATTCATTAACAAGATTCGAAAAAATTAGGAAGTGTCGCAAAATTAGTCATCATTTGTCTACTTTTCCTTTCCTTATAATGACAAATTTCTTCTCTGGACTCGCGTTCACCGGATCAAGTGGAACGTAACTTCTGATGTTGTGGATCTCTGTGCATCTCATCTATGAATCTCACAAGATCATTGGTTGTGACGCGTTGGACGAAGTGATTTTGGATTTAAGGCAATGGTGGGTAAGAAATGAACCGTGGTCGGGAAAATCCTTTTCAATGTATCCACAAATGATTGAAGACGCATCGCCCAACCTCTCCAAAGAATAAGTTGCGGACACCATTCAATTGGTGTTTACCACTTCAAGCTCTAACTTCATGCTTTCTTCATTTTTTTTACCCTCGTGTTTTCTCTTCTCTTCCCCCATTTTTTCAAAATTTTTGTGCCCATTTTTGAAAAATGTATGCCCACCGGAAACTGAGCTTTTGTACATCTTTTAGATTACGTAGCCAACCATTATGTTGGTATGAAAATTTATGTCATGCACAATGTTTAGTCTTTGCTGCAATTGAGACATTCACCTTTGTTTGCACATTCCAAAGGGCAAACTTTTAGAGTTTGTTTGGTTTTACAAGTAGCAGGGAAAATGAAGGGGAAAGGAAATAAAGGAAGCCGAAGGTAAATAATTGAATAGAAATTATTATTACGAATTTTTATTAAGTCAATTATTGGTGTTAATAATAAGTTACGCATTTACTGCGGGACAATTGACATGTGAAAAAATTCAATTGTAATTAACTCCAAATGCATGTGTCACTCATCCGATAATGAATGTGTAAGAATTTTTCTGCACCAGTAGTAGACTCAATAAAAGCTTTTTTATCATTCGGATATGCATGGATGGTGAATGATTACAAGGGAAATGAAGTTAGTAAATTTATGTCACACCCCGCGCCCTAAACAACTTGGGCCTCGGGCATGCAACAGCCGCCATGGTCATTTAAATGCGACATCCCAGGAGGAGCCGCCGACCCATCGCGTTATCTAACGAAGAAGCATATTTGGAAGCGTAAACAACATCACCCAATCAACAACATAGAAGGGATAGCAAAGAAAACACATAGGCAAAACACACTTGATATATATCTATATATATATATACATACTTTATTTTGACTATTATATATATACACTTTATAAGCAAAACACACTTTATTTTGACTCTCGTTCTTCTGATTCTTATTGTGTGGAAGTAAGGATACACACACGCGCGCGTGCACATACACACATATATGTATGCATGTTAACAATCGAATGTTAGCAAAATACAAACCCGCCACTTCGGGCCTTTTTCCGATTCAATCAAAAGGGTTGGGGTTAGACCTATCTCCTCTATCTACGAGGGCCTCCTAAAAAAGAACATGACTTCCTCATGCTCGGGTATGCTATGGCTCCTCTACAAGGTCGTAGTCCGGATCCAACTCTGGATCACTAACGAGACCGTCGGGGACAATTGACGCCGAAGAGTCCCGCGAAATTGCGCCTAGCGCACCCGGTGGTTCGTCAAAGCCTCGAAGAGGTCCCCAATGCTCTTCCCCAAACCACACATACCACGCTTTGAACCGATGAAGGACCAAGTTAGGAAGCCCCTCGTCAACCCAAACGGTGGTTGTGTACTCCTTGTATGTCGTGTCCGTCCCCGGTGCAATGTACTCAACTATCTCAACGTCTTGGTCGACTGGTACCCCGAAACGTACTATCCAGGTATCCATACTAAGGACCTGAAAAAGTTTAAGCCACAACACATGAGTAAAACTCAATAAAATAATCAAGTAAAAGGAGCTTTTGTCATTTTTCCAACTAAACAAGATTCACATGTATCAAATGAATTTAATAGTCCATCGCTATGAAGCTTGTGAATTCGTTTCTCATTTATGTGGCCTAATCGACAATGCCATAGGTAGGTTGGATTCAAATCATTAGATTTAAACCTTTTTGTATTTATATTATAGATTGGCACATCAAGATTTAGAACATATATCCCATCCACAATATGGGCGCTACCATAAAATAATCCATTAAGATAAAACAAACAACTATTGTTCTTTATATCAAAATAGAAACCTTCCTTGTCCAAACAAGAAACAGAAATAATATTCCTGCGTATAGCAGGTACATAGTAGCAATTATTCAGTTCTAAAATCATGCCAGAAGGTAAAGCTACATCATATGTTCCTACGGCTAATGCAGCAACTCTTGCTCCATTTCCAACTCGTAGTTCCACTTCACCTTTTGTAAGTGTTCTACTTTGTTTTAGTCCCTGCATATCCATACAAATGTGAGTATCACAACCGGTATCCAATACCCATTGTCACGCCCCGAACCTTACGGGCTCGCAATCATCCCTACCGAGGTCTATTCAGTGCGACGTCCCAGGACGCGTCGCCGACCCAAAACCCAAACAGAGAACAATGCACAAGCGGAAGCAACATATCACCCGAACAATAAAACACATGACCAAGGATGGCCATCGAACAACAACCATCATAAATACATACTTGCATTAACAACAGGAATTTACAATATCCATTGCAAAAGAACTACACATATAAACCAAAATAGGTCAACAGCCACTAACATAAAAAATGGGTATGTGGCTCGGGGTCAGGGTACTAAACCTAAGAAGGTCACCTATCCAAAAAGTGTCGGCCCTACCCTACTCTGGTCGAGGATAAATCCTAGGGCAACCAGTCCGAGTCGAATCCTGAGGACTCAGTCGAGTCATCAGACGACTCAGGCTCAGAATCCATCGAATCCGGCTCAGACTCGGCGTCCACTGACTCTCCCCCGGAAGCATCCTCCGGCTCTAGCTCCTGCTCCATGGGCTCCGGCTCCGGCTCGATATCGGACTCCCAGTCCATCGGCTCCTCTCCCTCGGACTCGGTATCCATCTCGATGATGACTGGTCGGGCGCCGAAATCCTCCTCGGACGTGGCAGCGGGACTCACGACCTCTCCATCAGCAGCCTGCGGATCCGGCCGGCCATATATGTCGAACGGGATGTCGAAGATCCTAAGAGGTCCATGCGTACCGAACTGGTCCTGGAAACACCAACCGAGATAAGAATGGGCCCGGAAATGCGGCCCGCCCTCGTTGACCCAAACTATAATGAAATGCCTAATATAAGACTCCCCGTTCCCTACAGGGTGCTCAGTCACCGATCGCTCTATGCGATACGGGATCTCAAAACGGAGTGGCGCATCCACCATCTCAAGGTCGGGGGTATGAAAAGTGGGGTTTAAACAATAATGAGAATAAATCTTAGCGAGTAGGCCCCCTAAACCGAAACTAGGCTAACATGCACCTCCCGGACAAGTATCAACTAAACACACAATTGAGTAATCACATGACTTAGGCCCTCGGTCCAAATCCAACATCTAATTGACCCTGCAGGTTAGGCACAAAATAATAATAATACTATGCCCAGCAATGCACATACACATATCAATTGGCCACTGTCACATGCCACACACATGTTTGCACTCGTTTATGCACTCTTTGCACCCTTGCCAATGTCATGCTTATGCTTGCACAATTCAATGCACACTTGCACACATGCACACGTGCCAACTTCCCATTTATTCACCGACCCGCGTAAACGACGCCTCAGGTCTGACCCGCGTAACACGCCTCAGGTCTATCACTTTGAGATCGATCTTCGGTCGGCATTAAACGCATCAGGCTCATGACACAACCCGCGTGAGGGACGCCTCAGGTTGGCCATCTTCCGGTAATCCGGGCATCGTCCCGCATAAACGCCTCAGGACGGGTTCATTACCCCGCGTAAACGACGCCTCAGGATTTATGTGATCACACGAGCGCAATCCACCAATTATTATCTGAACCCCGCGTAAACGACGCCTCAGAGCGATTTAGGCGATCACATGCTCATGCCATTCGTGCACACTCACATAATGCACATGTTATGCCAATGCTCGATATACATATTCATGGCCATAACGTCCACGCTCGGCATCCACAATTTCCACACTCAATTATTGCCACAATATGCTCAATTCACATAATAGCCCAAATCAAGACCACAATGATGAGCCACTAAGAACAAGGGAAAACCGAATACACAGATTCGGAGCAATTCTGAGCCAGCGCACAGTTTTGGAATCCCTTTTTAAATAAATAGTAATTCAACTCCAAAAATTATAAATTTTGGATATGTTGCATAAAACATATTGATAAACATTTTTTATGAAGAACTCAAAACCCAGTTCCAACTATAAACACCTCTTTTTGTCACTTGAAGTCAGACAAAGATCAACCCGTCCGGTCAGGCCGCTTGACCATAAAAATGCATCTCATCCAGTACCCAAATCACTTTGGAAAGCCTTGAACGTTTTATACGTCATAGACACGAATGTTCTTAACAATTTTTGTGAAGGAAGTTTGTCGAAAAGAGATCTGAAAAAATTTATAAAAAATCGA